ACCACTGGCTTTAATTAATTAACCTGATTGGCGAATAAAATATTTGAAATAAAAATACTCTAGCATCGAATTTAATTGAGAATTCGAGTGTTTCACAATTGGCGATGAGCAATAAATATTTCTGACGAATAAAAATAATTTCCGGGCAATTTCCACGGCCGAGAAATTTTCGGATAAATAATATCGCTGCGATTATACAAAATTGACAATATCCTTCCGCTTGAATTTCAATTAAAAATCGATTCATCGATGGACCGATGGCTTTCACCCCGTTCCAGCAAACGGCAAAAAAATTTCCCCACCAGGAAAAAAATATTCTCGATTTAGCTTACTCCAACAGCACCCGAGTCTTCAAACGGAATAACATGATATGGATTTTTTTTTTTTCAACAATTTACCCCGTCAGCCTCGACTCTTCGAAGGTAACTAGCAACCAAGTGCAAACCCCTGTTTCTCCCCCGGAAAAAGTGGAAAATATATTTGGTACAGTGAAATTCCTAGAGAAATCGTCGGCAAATTCATGTCTATTGTACTTATGTAGTGGCAATCAACGTCATGTCCGACGCAAGGAGTGAAAAATAGGGTCTTACCCGAATTGGTGAAGGTTATTGGATTTTTTTTCAATGGAATAACTGAAACACTGTTTTTATTCTCTCTGAAATAACCCAGAACGTGCGAGACCCTCTCGCATCAGCTGATCCACCATTATCTTATCTATTAAAAAAACCATTTTATTTTACGAGACATGAAAATGCATTCGCGAAACGAGCGGTGAATGGGGAAAAAAGTACTCGCATTGTGTAAAATATCCAGTAGTTGCAATGAATTAGCAATTAGCTGTCGAATTAATTGCGTTTTTACAATTCTCTTCATTTTCTCTTGAATGTTGATTCATTACATTCGTGGAAATGCGGTTGTTGTCTATCGGTAACTGGCGTTTTTTAATTGCTCCATAGGAATGTAATTAAATCTTATCGAATGTCGGAATATTCTGGGTAATTTGATACTGAATTCTTCAGTGAAATTCAAGTCGCTAATTAAATCCCTGACAATTACTCTGCATAAATCTCCCTGTCATTGAAACAGGAGTTTTTTTTTAAGAGCTGATCAATGTTTATGGTACTTCATGAATGTCGGGTGTTGTTCTTACATGAGCACCTATTATTTACAACGGACCTGTCTGCGAAGTTAACCCGCTGTTTTCTCACTAACAGAGTGTTTTATGGTCACTCCATTAACTCGGTTTATTAATTTATTTGAGGGCACATGACGGGAGTGAAAGCCCTCGGAGAAATTATTATTTTTTTCTTCTGTTTTCTCAATCCCTGGACTATCGATCTGGCGACTAAGGTATCAGCATTTCAATGCCGGAGAAATTTCCGGTTCTAAACACAACAATTGAGCTCATTGCGCTCGAGAACACGGGGTATTGACATTTTTCAAGGAAAAATATTCCCTTCTGTATCGGAATCATATCGACGAATAGGAGATCGATATATCCACGAGGATAAAAGAATTAGCCTGCGAAAAATGAATTTTTACTCCGATAAATTTCGCAGAGAATGAAAAAAAAAATACCGATTTTTCGATAATCCTGAAGCGTAGAAATTTTATCGAATGAAAAATGAATAAAAAATTTAATTCCAGTTAATTATTCCTGTTCTTTTTTTTAATTAACAATTTGATGAGTGTCTTCTGGGGACAAGACGATTTCGATTGCTTTTTTCTGGAGCGATGAGGGAATTATGTAAATATAAATAATTACTCGAGAATAATTATAGTGAAAAGACAACTGGAAAGCCGAGTAATGGCCAAAGCTCTTGGGTTAAACGGTGTCATCACGGCTATCGTTTATATGAAAAGCAACGGGACACTTTAAATAAACGACACGGTAGTGAGTTAAATTTAACGCGATGCTGGGAATCGATAATCGAGTTAGCACGACACACACAGTCGATCCTCGTTATGGAATGGAGGTATATCGCCATATGATTCAGGTGAGTACCTGACTCAATGGTATTCCATGTATCATGAGAATAAAGAGCATTTATACTTGAAAATAATCCATTATTTT